AAAAAAAAAAAAAAAAAGAAGTACGCTGCCATGCTGTGAGCTGCACATGGAGAGGCACATCTGGCAAAGAGTTGAGTGCAGCTTCCTGCTGCCAGCCAGCAAGAAAGAGAGGCCCTCGATCCTGCAGCCTGCAAGGAACCTGAATGCTGCGAACAGCCACAAAAGCTTGGAAGCGAATCCTTATCCAGTTGAGCTGCAGGTGAGATGGCAGCTCTCGCAGACAAGCTCATTATAAGTTCGTGAGACCCTGAAGCAGAGGACCAAGTGAAGGCGTGCCCAGAATCCTGACTCAAGGAGGCTGTGAGATAATAGATTTCTGTTATTGACAGGAGAAACTGCACCCTGCATCAGAGTGCTTTCTTGTCTGCTAGCTCTAAACAGCTCAAGAAAGTGCACTCCCTGGAAGAAAAATGCCTGCTGTACTGCCGACACCAGCGAGGAAGCCCACAAGTATATTTCCAACCTGTATAGATTCAACTGGGACCACTGCAGAAAGATGGCGCCCGCCTGCAAACGGCATTTCATCCAGGACACCTGCTTCTATGAGTGCTCCCCTAACTTGGGGCCCTGGATCAAGCAGGTGGACCAGAGCTGGCGCAAAGAGCGGATGCTGAATGTGCCCCTGTGCAAAGAGGACTGTGAGAGCTGGTGGGAGGATTGTCGCTCCTCCTACACCTGCAAGGGCAATTGGCACAAGGGCTGGAACTGGACCTCAGGGTATAACCAGTGCCCAGTGAAAGGTGCCTGCCACCCCTTCCCTTTCTACTTCCCCACACCTGCTGATCTGTGCAATGAGATCTGGAGTCACTCCTACAAAGTTAGCAACTACAGCCAAGGGAGCGGCCGCTGCATCCAGATGTGGTTTGACCCAGCCCAGCGCAACCCCAACGAGGAAGTGGCGAGGCTCTATGCTGAGGTCCAGAGTGGGGCTGGGCTCCGTGGGGCCTGGGCTCCCCTGCTCAGCCTGGCCCTGACGCTGCTCTGGCTGCTCTGCTGATCTCCTTTGCCTTTGACACCTGGACATCCCTGCCCTGCTCGGCCCCACAGCTCCCAGCCATTCAGTGCCTGCTCCACCGTTGGGCCTCTGACAGCCAGTTTAAATAAACCAGACACTCCAAAAAAAAAAAAAAGATTTATGTTATTTTAGGACATTAAGTTTGTGGTATTATTGTTACATAGCAATAGATAGCTAATACAGTTACTTAGTTATTCACATCTTTTAGTGTCAGGACTGAAAGGACTCATGGATTCAGTTATCTTTTTCAACTATAATATCCATTAAAATCATGTATGGAAATAAATTAGACTTAGAGCAATACCTTCAAATTGCTGTTTTACAAGATATTAAAGCAAGATTTTTAAGAAGAATGAAGCCTATTCCATCAGCTTGCTCTCAATAGAGAGGAGTAAAAAGTCTTTTTTATAATGCTAAAAATAAATAAAAA